GCCGTGCTTCGAGCACGCGTACGCGTGCGACGCCGCGCCGCCGATCCCGGAGGAGAGGCTCGCCGTCGAGATGATTGAGCCGCCGCGGGCGGCGGGGACCATGACCCTGGCGGCGTGCTTCATCCCGAGGAAGACGCCGGTGAGGTTGACGCGGAGGACGCGCTCGAAGTCGGATTTTTTGTTGTCGGCGATTCGGGGCTTCGGGTCGTCTAGGGTTCCGGCGTTGTTGAACATGATGTCGAGCTTGCCGTAGGCGGCGACGGCTTCGTCCACGGCGTTGCTGACGTGGTCCTCGTCGGTGACGTCACAGTGGACGTAGGTTGAGTTCGTGGGGCCCAGGGCGTTGACCACGGAGCGGCCGAGGTCGTCTTGGATGTCGGCGATGACTACTTTAGCGCCGTGTTTGGTGAATAGCTTCGCCGTGCATTCTCCGATCCCGCTGGCCCCACCTGTTATCAGTGCTACTTTCCCTTCTAGCCTATATCAATATTAACTAAAATTATATATTTTCCCAAATTAAAAGAAATAAAATCAGTTACCAATTATTAATTTTTAATTTTGGAAATTTGTATTTAAAATAGGTTTTCTTTTTTCGTTTTAAAATTTGTTATTTCTTTTTTCTTCCAAAATCACAACTAATTTGTTTTTTCAACAATTGTTTATATTATTTGATTGATAAAACAAAAAAAAAAAGGGTTTAATTAAGAAAAGTAAATTAAAATATTGCTTTAATTTTTAAAATATTTTCCAAACAAAAAGAAAATATAATCCCAAAATGCATAAGGAGGTGTTAGCAAAAGCTTTTAGAAACAGCTTCTGAGCTTTTTAGAGCTCATAATTTGTTGTAAGTTGTTTGTAAAATCAGCTTTTGTTTTTATACTCTACAAATAACCTGCTTTAATTAAGCTATTTTTTAGAAGCATCTCTACACTTGCTTTCCAATTAAAGTTGACTCTTCGTATATTTACAAACAACCCCAATTTTTACAAATAAACACTTAATATTCATTTAACGCACAATCACTAACTTTTACTTAATTTTTTTAATAAGCTTTTGCAAACACCACCTAAGAAGCGGAGATTTGGCATATATCACATCAATAATTTATCTTGGAAAACAATTTTTCACATCTAAAAAACCTCTTCTACCTCTTCTAATTAAGGAATAAAGATTAAAAACACTTTCATTTTCCTAAAATAAATTTTATATATATATATATATATATATATATATAAAAGATTTTGTTATTTCGATAATACATACATACCTTCTGGCGACTGCAGAAAGAAGTGAAGCGCTTGACATGACTCTGATCTGTGAAGAAATGTTTGTATTGGCCAAACAGATGAATGTATATATATATACAGCAAGAAGTTTTGGCAAATTCCTTTTTTTAATATTTTTATTTAATATATATATTTAATATATATGTTGACAAAGAGTCAAAAAGGAGAATTATTATAAATTATAATTACTAGATAAACAGTAACTTTAATGAAACAGATTTGCATCTACAAATGGGGTTCCATTTTGGTGGCTGAGTTGGCGTTTATTTCAATAATGGGTGAATAGAAAAATACTTTATCCAATTTAATTAATCAATTAATTAATACAGATTTTCATGCCTTAGTGTTTTGTTTCTGTTGATTTTGTTGACTCCGAAGATTCTCACGTTCACAACTATGTGACAGCCAATTGGCCATAATTAGTTTCTGCCTTATCAGTTGAATATTTGAATTAAGGACTATCAGTGAAAACGCCCTCAACATTTTTTTAATAATGATGGATTTAGACACTTTTTCTTTATTAGTGATAAACCCAACTTTTATTTATTATCAAATTTATCCTTCCCTACTATTTCTTGCACATACCTTTTTTATTTCTTTTCTATTTTCCATTTTAATTTTCGTTTTGTTTATTTAAAAAAATAGTTTTTTAAATAATTTTTATAAATATTTTTTAATAACTAAAAAATAATATTATTTTCAACATTTTTTCAGTTTCGTTTCTCCAAAATCAACTATAATATTTTCGAAATCGACTAAAAATTTTCTGAAAATCAACCAAAAGATTCGGTTTTTTTTTTCATATCATTTATTTTGAATCCAAAACGAATTTTTTCCCAACTAATTTACCAAATTGACAAATTACTACATATTATTGAAATAACTATAATAAATCAAAATCAACTAAAAATGTCGAAAACAACTAAAAATACATCAACTAATTTTTTTAATTCATATTTTTTGATTTTTATTTTTCCAGCATGTCATATAATTGGATAAAAAATAAAAAATCAAAGTCAACTTCCAAAAACTTGAAAATCAACCAAAAAAGTCGAAAACAACTAAAACTATCTAAAACAACTAAAAGAAATAGCAGGATAACGAAAACAGCTATAAAAAATAGCCGAATAACAAAACAACTATTTGCTGTAAAAATACCTAACATCAAAAGCATAAAAAAATCGAAAAAATCAGAACTATGGCGACGACAGGGCAGAGGCGGGGGAAACAAAGTCTCTATATCGGCGGTGGAGTTGAGGGGTGGAGGTAGGGAGGGATTTTTGAGTTTTTGATGTCGTCTTCTACAACTAAATCGAGACCGGAGCGATGGCAGCGGCGGCGGGACGAGAACTTCAGATCTGGCAGCTTGGACATCAATGTTGAGGGAGTGGAGAGCGATACGAGCGCGTCCTTGAGGCTGTTCCTAAAGTCATCGGCTCATGCTATGCTTTTCAATGGTGGGTGGTGGAGGCTATGATGGAGTGATTCTTTCCTTCACCATGGATTTATTCAGGAGAGAGAAAAGAGACGGAATGGGCATGGAGAGAATGACAGAAATCAGAGAAAAAAAGATGGAGGCGGTTGAATGGCGTAATAAAATTAGGGCAGATGTGATATAATATAGCATTAAGGGCAAATTAGATATTATTCATAGCAATTTTAAAAACAATAATTAAATTTAATAATTAAGGGGGGTTTGACTAATATTATATTGAAAAGGGGGTTATATCCACCCTAATATATGTAAATGACGTGGGGATTTTCACTAATTATCTCTTTAAATTAGGGTTAAATCATAAATGTGATGGTGATTATATAAAATAACTTATTTAATTATATTGTGTACGTTGTTTATGTAGTTGATTTATTATCGACTACAATTGATTAAAATATTAATGTGTGTATTAGACCTAAAAATAATAAATCGACTATCAAAGAACATAGTTGATTTATTAATCGGTTATAGTCGATTACATAAACTGTCACATAAAAATACTAAATTGATGGCAAAAAACCTAGAATGGATCGAACGGATGGGAGAAGCTCTGCCACGTGATGCGTTGGTCAATGCCGTAATGGAGGAATTCGCCGGTATATGAAATGAGGGTTGTTTCAATTCTGGCGGTAGATGTGTTTGATGTCCAGATGCCAATGTCTCGGCGGCAGTGGACGTGATTGAAGTGCAGGCTCTTCGACGCCAATGGATGTTTTTGATGTTCAGACGATGGCGCATCGGCGCCCGTGGATGTATTTACATTTTTTTTTAGATTTATGTGCAATTTAACATTCGTTATTAAATAATGAAGGGGTAAATTACAACCACCCTCGTAGGTATGGTCAAATTACGAAAACCCCCATCGTGTTTAGGTAATTACAACCACCCTTCAACTATAAATCTTCTTACACATCCATCCTTGCGGTTTCAAATTTAATGGATTCTTCTAGATTATATAAAATATTTTCAATTTTGGACCCATTTTATCCCATTTGAGCTCCACATTTTGAAGATAGATGATCATAAGATGCGTTTTATGGCTTGTATATATCAAATTGTGGTGCATCAAATTTTTTTTTTTTTTGCACAAGACGAGTACAAACTAGAGAACATTCTACGGAATTTAGATAATTATATTGAATTTGACACAATAAAGATGAAGATATAAGAAAATTCTTAGTTAAGAAGTAGATATAATTATCCAAATATGAGGATTTTTTTTATAATTTGACTATTCTCAGGAGTTGATGTAATTTATGGAATAATAAATAAAGGAATAGATGAAATAATAAGTATTGCATACACACGGATACACCAATTAAATACAGACAAATCTGGAATATCAGGTGTGTCTACCATTTTATACAAGAATCCACCATGCTGATTTATTTATTAATAAAGTTTATATATACCAAATTGGGCCAACTATTTCTCTGTATTTATTTGATGTTCGTGTTTTTTATTGTAATCTATATTTATATAATAATAATATATAAAAGTTGAATTCCACACTTAATTGATTGACATTTGTCAATTTCAATTGATGACATGTATTTAATTTCATCCTATGTGGTAAATTGATTGGTGAAAATAAATCATAAAAACCATGTCACCATTTTCCAAAATTAAAAAGATATTAAATTATTTTATTATATATTTATATCATACTATTTATAAAATGCTCTAAATATATCAACTTTTTTGGAAATTTTAAATAGTTTTATTTTTTAATTTAATTTTAATAGTAATTTATGTAATTTAAATTTATTTAAATTCAATTTAAAATCTTCACTTATTATAATTGTATGATTGATGGTGTTACGAAAATTTTGTATTTTAATTCATAAACTTGATTTGTATAAAAAAAATATTGTGGAATAAATTATTTGATATTATACATTTTACATGAACATGACGAGAGAATATGTTTATCTTTTTTACAAATTAATATCATATTCGTAATTATCAAAATTTCCCTGATGTTTGTTTCCGTCTTACATCGACCCCCTTACAGTATGATTGTTCTCGGAATTTTTTTTTTTACGTGGAATATTCTCCGAAAAATGCAGATTCTACCATGCACTCGACATTTGTTTATGGTACTTTTTAAAGACAAAAATTACCGTGATAGGACTTTACACAAAATATTTATTCTTCTTAAACAAAACATCTTCACAACTTTTTAGTATTACTATTACCTCCCCTAAGGGTAATTGTTGTATTTAAAAAGTAAGATAAAAGAAATGTCACGTCTGCAAGGGTAGAATCCACAATTTTTGGGATATTACATTGAATAAAAAAGATTCCGTAAGTCGTGTAAGACATAAACAATCCTCTGGGGAATTTTGGTAATTATCGATAAGTGGGGGTGCTTTCCGTAATTTAGCCTAAGTTCATGAGGATTTTCGTAATTTATTCTATTAACAAAGATTATCGTTCTTTTCACGTCTTAACGTTTGCTTATACCCTTATATTATTTTAAATAATTTTAATGTCAGCTTGAAAATATAATTAAATATTAATTTCTAATATATTTAATATGTGTTTCTTGATGTTTCAGGTACCACATAATTGTCTTTTATACAAAATAATAGATAATTGCCAAAATATTGATGCAAAATTAGTATTAGGATTGTGATTAGTATTAGCATTAGAATTATGATTATAATTAATATTCTTTGAATTAGTATTAGTATTAATACTAGTATTAGGATTCAGATTAATATAGTATTATAACTAATATTAGAATTATAATTAGAATCAACATTAGCATTAGCATTAATATTATTAGTAGTAAAACTATTAGGATTATAATTAATGTTAGAAATAGGTTTAGGATTATAATTATGATTAGGATTAGAATCATGATTAGTGTTATGAATAGGATTAGGAGTATGATAAGGATTTGGATAACATTAGTATTACAATTATAATCAGCATAAGCATATTCAGATTTAACATTAACATTAAAATTAGTATTAGCATTAGAATATGTACATTAGCATTAACATTAACAATATTAAAATATTAGTATTAGAAATAATATTAATATTATTATTAGTATTAGTATTAGTAATAATATTAGTAATAGTATTAGTATTAATATTAGTATTATTAATAGTATTAGTAATAGTAATAGTATTAATATTAGTATTAATATTAGTCTAAATATCAGTACCAGTATCAATATCAATATCAGTATCATTATCCGTATCAGCATTAGTATCGGCATCAGTATCCGTATAATATTAATATTATTATTAGTATTAGTATTAGTAATAATATTAGTAATAGTATTAGTATTAATATTAGTATTATTAATAGTATTAGTAATAGTATTAGTATTAATATTAATATTAATATTAGTCTAAATATCAGTACCAGTATCAATATCAATATCAGTATCATTATCCGTATCAGCATTAGTATCGGCATCAGTATCCGTATCGGCATCGGTATCGGTATCGGTATCGGTATCGGTATCAATATCAGTATCAATATCAATATCATTATCAGTATCAGTATCAGTATCAATATCAGCGTCAGTTTCAATTTCAGTATTCGCATCCGTATCAATATTATCAGTATCAGTATCAACATTAATATCAGTATCAGTATGAGCATCAATATCAATATCAATATCAGTATCGATATCAGTATCGATATCAGTATCAGTATCAGTATTAATATCAATATCAATATCAATATCAATATTATTATCAGTATTAGTACGAGTACCAGTAAGATTGTGAGTATCAGTATGAGTATCAATATTAGTAGGGGTTGTCTAGGGCCCGAGAGGGGTTGTTCTTCTCGGACCAAAAAGATTGAATCTGGTGCGTTAAAAATGATTTGTAAATAATTGAGATCATTGATTTTAAGTACAACCTAGTACGAGTCAGTACAACCCTAATAATTCCCAAATTAAAGTACGAACCTAGTAGAAATATATCGTACTCACATCGTACACACATGGTACTTTGTTTAAATTACTTTATTAACCTTTAAATAATCAAATCATAATATTCTAAAAAATAAAAAAATCATTAATTGGGTCGTGAAATAAAACAAAAGTCACAAAAACTTCTTCCCAAAAATCAAAATTCCATCTTCCCCAAAATTATTTGTCCATTCAATCCGTTGCAGGTTGTGGTTATGGTCTACACATGTTGTGGTGGTTGTCTGCGTGCATTAGTAAGCTTCACAAAATTTCTCTCAAATCTTCTTCCTCATAATCCCTGTATGCACGCACAACATTGAAGAAGGTAAATAAATCAATTTCAGGTCTTTAGAAGTAATATTCATAAACATAACTCCACTTTAATACTCGTCTCGATTCGACTATCTGCAATCTGCTCCAAAGCCATATCAAAAAATACAGTTTAGAATCGGGTACTTTCTGGTCACGAAATAAAATTATTGAATTACAAAGCATAGCTAGATTATTCAATAAACAAATATTGAATAGATCAACATAAACACCTGCGCCACAAGCAAATAGCTAAAATATGCAATAAAATAAATCATTTAAAGGAGACTAAAGCGGAATAAAAGGAAACCACCGGGGAACACAGAAGCCATAGACACTAGAATTGTCCATTTTCTCCATCAACAGAAACCTCGTACCATACGGCCATACCTCTCTGACTTCATTGCCGCCCCACAGTGATAACTTAATCCTTCAATTTTAGCGGCAAGAAAGAAAAAAACCCTGGAAATGACGGCATCAGAAAAGATCTGAAACTATGAAGAATTAGTTGTTGCATGTATGAGTTATCCATCGATGATGAATAAGAAAAAAATATTCGTGATTAGGGTTTATAGAACTGAAGAAGATGATACAAGAGACGTAGAATTCTTGTTTCTTCAATACCAATTTAATTAGACAATTATTATAATAATTAGATTTATTATGGTACTATTGTAATCAATTCGTAGTTATTAATTATTAATACTAAATTTAAGTTTTAATTTTAAGGGTATTTATGTAATTTTATTTATACCGCATGTGTTGTATTTTTTTATGGGGTTCGTACTAATCATATACGTGGCACATTTTTATTGGTTGATCTTCAATCGTTTAGGTCCGAGAAGTACAACTCCTCTCGGACCCTAGACAACCCCTACTTAATAAGCCCTAATAAACGCAGTTTTGTTTGCCGAATCGTCGAAATCGAAACTAAGAACAACACTTCAAAAATTGCATCTCAAACACACAAACATGAAACAACAATGCAAACAGATAAAAATCATAAAGGCTCAACGGTGATAAAATCGCATCGAAAAACCCACACGAACACATAAAAATCGACACACGAAAATAGGTAAATTAATTAATTAATTAATTAATAAAACTCATACAGCTTCGGTTTCAGCTTGGGAGACGATCCGAACTCCATCCCTGTTAACCAAGAGATCACCATCCTTAAATGTACCCGAACCAGTCCTGCACACACACACACACAATATTAATTAAAGATCCAAATCACAATTTAAAAGAAAAAAAAAAAGGAATTACAGGAATTTAGAGATGTCGTCGGGTGGAGGGAGAGAGAGCTTGAGGTTAGGTGCTAAGGAACCTTTCTTCATTTTCACTTTCTTCTCGGATTCTGTACTGTTTGTTAGACTGCACCGAATCCCGGTCCAAGAATTGGTATTACAATTACCCCCTAAGGGTAATTTCGTGTACAAGGGCAAAATTGGTATTATCAGGGGAATATTCGGGAGAATAAAAAAGATTCTATCGAGTTTAACACCGTTGGAGCGATTTGTAAGATGTCTGCATACCTCAGGGGGTTTTTCGTAATTACGAGAACGTGGGGGGGATTTTCGTTATTTAGGCTTACCTCAGGGGGGTTTTGGTAATTTGCCCTAAATAATATAATAAATTAAATGTTTCTTAAATCGTAAATGGTTAAATTTGATCGATTTATTGATATTTAAGATTTATTATAACATTTGAATCGACTTAGGTTTGAATAAATTGAGTCGTAAAATTTGAATCGTAAAGCATAAGATTCAACAATGAATCGAGTTTCATAAACTAATTATTTAACGAACATTTGAAAAGAGGAACTGCAAATTAACAACTTCTTGAAAACTACTTATAAAAGAGTCCATTGATGAGAACTATTACCTATGAAACAAACCAAAAAATCTACAGAAGAGTGAAGAAGAAAATAGTATTTGAATAAGAAAAATCATAATACAGTATTTCAGGAATTAATTTAAATAATGCCGTAATTGACATTCATACTAGTAGAGAACATAGATAGACATAAATATTTTTTTTACTTAAAAACAATACGAATTGTAAAATATCATCTACACTCATCCGGCAGCAAATGGTTTGCCACAAATTATCTTCCACCTGGAACAAGTAGTTGAATAATAAGAAATCATCCACCTGGTAATTAATGTAATGTAAGAATTACTTAAATGATTTAAAGGGAAGAAGAACATTTACCAACAGAGAACACATGTGAGACGGTGTCGAGCGAATTAATAATCATCCTCCAGTGGTACATCTGGCATATCAGACATGTCTTCTTTAGCTACAAAATGAGCTCTTGGTGCTACGGAATTAAGGAACACATATTTTGTGATAAAATCGTAAATATTGCATCACACAGGTTTGCTGCATGATCAAAACTACTTCGTATGACTTGACAAGATTAAGTAAGTAACAAATTAAATGAAACTCAGCAGTCATCAGAATGAAAAATATTATGTAAGGATATAGATTGACATAAGATCATCCTGTTCCTCCCCACGGTTAAGGCTGTTATTTAACTCGATTAGTATTCCAGGTGTAATCTGCATGTCAAGAGAAGTAAGTAACACATAGCATAAATCGCGAGCTCGGTAATGAATCACAAGATGAGTGATCGAGCGCATCTTACTAATTTGTGTGTTTGCCTTTCAACTAGGTTTTTTAGATTGGCTTTGTCCTCCTTTGTCAAAGAATTTTTATACCTGCACATAATTACTCGTTGCACATCAAACAAATTTAAGCAATGTAGATATGGTACATGTGAATTTTCATTCGTCTATACGAGATTGAATGAACACAACAATCATCATATATATAGATAGCCATGGAAACGAAAAACCAACCTTTGTGCAAACGCATGAAGAGACTGATGCCAGATAACAGGCAATTTGCTCGAGTATTCATAGAATCTCATAAAGTGAGCAACCAATGCATCAACTACACGATATGGTAATGCGTAGTTCTTCTCAATTAGTGAAATTATGAAATAACTGCACATAACATACAAGTGAAATGAAAATTGTTGTGAGTATGTATGGCAGGCTCTTAAAAAGAGAAGAGAAAAAAAAATTCGTTTTATCATCTCAATATTTATACAGACAGTTTCTTTGAAATTTATGAATTCCATAGCAACTTTACATAAACTGATACCTTTTCTTATTGAAGTGCTCCATATCTGCAAGCTTCAACAACGCGACACTGCGACAGGCACAAGAGATTAATATTTCAATAACACAAAACCTTACAAATGAAATATTAGTAGATAACAAAGCCATACATCCAGAGAATTCGAACAAGAAACAATACGTTCTTGTACGAGTGTATCTTAATAAGCTGAATATGTCATTTCAAAATAAGAATTCTCATGTTGGAAAACTTTAAGCAAGTTGTTTGAGCAATAAGTATTAATGGCATGGACAATCAAGTCAAAGAGTGATAATAAACAATGTTTTTTTTTTTTTTTGCCATGGAAAATTGTGAAATGCACGAGACCGTAGTTTGACCTTGTTTTATTTAAGCAAAACAGACTGACTGCCACTTAATAATGTTATCGGTCAAATAAGTGTAACATACCTGGCATGAAGAACAGGAATTGAAATCTTCGCAATGATGCTCAGAAACTTAGAAGTTTCTACTCTGGTGCATGTCTTCGACTGGCATGAACAACAAAAATTGCATTCAAGGTAAGAATTGATATTGATGATGTGAATAAAGTCACGAAAGTAGCAGGTAACAAATGCTATAGATTAAATTAAATTAAAAAAAAAAAATTGATAACGATATTTTTCTCGTTCATATTAATTAATTATCTGCTGGTACTAACAGGGACGTCAAAAAGATATAGGAAAATAAAGAACAGACCCCGTGCATTAAGAGCCTTACTAGATGCTAGTCACATATCAAGCATATGAAACGTAAGTTTTTCAGCTTCAGGAAAAGAGATAATTGATCAAGCAACAACAAAAAGCAAATGGATACAAAAGAGATGCTTGAAGGCAAAACATTTTGTGTAACAAGAATGTGCAGAACAAAGCTACACAAAGAGAGTGCTCGTCTCGATTCATTAATTTTGTTAGCTAAATGTTGCATATTAATCACATAGCTTATAATGAATTATCTAACATAAGTATAATTGATATGGTGAGTCAAAAATGGAAATATGTTGGAGTTGCGTAAAAAGGGTGTTTGCATATGGATTTTATATTTAATTTCATCCCCCGTTGATCAAAGTTGAAATGATGCTTGATGATTTAATTCTTGTAAGTAATGCAGAGCAAAAATGCAAATACACGTAACTGAATCATGAATTTTGTATTTTGTAAAAAAAAAAAAAACATTTAGAAATGGTTATATATACCTCCCACAAGGGAAATAAGATTCCCTTATTAAAGGCAGCTGGTTTGTATACAGCCTTCATCACGGATCGGTACAAGGCAAAGTGCAGCGTTTTATTATTGTGAAGATCTCGTCTCACACGTGGCAGCAAATACAGCTTATAGAATTTCTCCACCTTCCGATCACTCATATTAGAAGCAAAGATTCTTGTTGCTTGATACATTGCATTCGGGGACCACTTTTCGGGTTCGGTCAGGTATAACAGTTCCTCCCAGCATTCCGATGAAGGTATGTGCTTTAAAGCCTTTGGTATCTTGCCCGAGGTGTATTTGCTCAGACAACTTCCCACACTGCATAATCCATACATCATCATATCATGCATTTTATTTTTGTTTAATTTAATTTAACCATATAACTAGACTATTATTAGCATCATACTCACTCCTTGTACAGCTCTATCCATTTGGGGTTCAAGTTCGACATCTGTTGCGCAGCTCCTACGTTCGAAAAAATCATACATTAATTAACTCTTCCAATATCATCAGATAATAAAAATTATTATAACTCAAAAAAAACCTGAAGAAACTTGGGCATCTTTTTCTATTATCTTGTCAAATAATTTATTAGCCCATGTGCTCTTCGATAGATAGTCTTCCAGCAGCTTTTCATCTTCCTCATCTATTTCAACCTATTTTAATTTCCTCATCAAAAAATTATTAAAAAAACTAAAAAAAAAAAAAGACAAGATGCAAACAAAGGGAAAAATATTAAACCTCAAAATCGGGTTGCCAAAATTGAGTCGGGTTCTCCGAGAACCCAGCAAAATCATCCACGTCATCTTCATCGTCGTTGTCTTTGAGGCCGTGCAATTGGGGTAGCACAAACTTATTCACATCATCGTTTTCATTATCCTCCTCCTCATGCTGGATTTCCTTTTGCTGAAGATGGGCTTGTTTGAGAATCTTCGAGCTGACGGCGCAGGGGACCAGCTTCTGGTGGACCTGGTGGTGCTTCGGTGGTTTCGACCGTTTCTTGGAGGAGGAGAACGCATCGGACCCCAACGGTAAGAACGGCTCTGGATTTGTGATTCTTCCGCGTTTCTTCGACATTCCTTCCTGCTTCAGAGTTCAGCCCAACAACCAAAATACCGCAAGGGACCTTTTATACTGTTTTGCAAGTGACGAGCCGACCAAGAAACCCTAGATTGCGGGAAAAGGACCTTTTATTCTGTCCGTACGACCAAAGAAACCCTTAATTGCAAAAAAGGAGCTTTTATATTGTTTATTTCAAATACTAGCCCTTCACTAACTTACATGATCAGCGGTTGTCCCAACAATTTTTATATGTTTGCTTAAATCTCGTTAGTTGTAAATTTCATTTGATATACATTCAAACCTTAATTAGGGTTTTTTTTTTCTTTTTTGTTTTTTATTATTGTTATTATTTTATTATTACTTATTTTTTTTTTATGTTTTTATTTTGCGGGTCGTGGGAGTTCTGAGTAGCGGATTCAGATAATCAACATCCGTTGATAACAAACTTTTTCTTTTCTTTTATCCTTTTGTTTTCCCTCCGGCGGTGGGTCGTCGTAGCTCCGATTAGCTGACTTTCAGCATTAGTTGACATTCGATTGTTTTTCTTTCTACTTTTTCATTTTATTTTTTTATGGTGGTGGATTGTTGGACCTCTGATTAGCTAACAACCGATTGTCTTTTCTTTCATATGGCGTGTCATCGGAGCTCTGATAAACTGACTTCAACGTCGATTAACTTGATTTAGAGCCTGTTTGGCTAAACTTATTAGCTCCTAAAAAAATTATAAAATGTTTTTAGGAGCTTATAAGATTTTAAAAAGTGGTAAAAAAAATTAAAAAGATTTTATTTTTTTTATAAATAAGTTGTTAGATGGTTTATAATATATTATAAAATATACCTACACCCCACATTTTTTTATAAGATCTTATTATTTGTTTATTCACTAAAATACTCAAAATATAAATTATCTTCAAATATATATATATATATATTTTTTTATCAAATGTAATTTTTTTATATCAGATCAAAAGAGTAACACAATATTCTGGGGCATACCCCAGACTTTGGAAGAATCACAAAATGACCCCTAAACTTTACAAAAACTACCATCTTCGTCCCTATAAGCAAACTATACAGGGGTTAATGTGTAACAGTACCATCTTCAAATATTTTATTATATTACATGTGATCAGTCTAGATTTAACTATAATTTATTAAGTTAAAAGGTTGATTTTTCTACATGGGCTTTTTGGACTTGGTCGAGCCTTGGATCTAGACCTGACCACGGTTCGGTTTGGTTCCGAACCGTCGGTTTCGGTTCCGAGTTTGGAGGAATTGGAATCGAACCGAAAAAATCCGGTTCCTTGCTGATATGCCTAATTGGTTCAACCCAATGGGCCTACAAATTATTTATCTACTGGGCCACGAGCCCAATATCGAAGACCACTATCACCGAGACCCAATCACTTTCAAGTAAGGTTTGGGCCCGACAATCTCAACTAAGCTATAAATAAAGGTTTGAACTCATTCCTTAAGGTACATCCAATTAACTGAGCAATACTACAATATATATTCTCTGGACTATTTCTATGATCAGCACGTCTGACTTGAGCGTCGGAGGGGTTTCCGCCGGATCAATCCCGACCTAGTTTACGTGTTCCGTGATCGCAGGTATCTCAAGGTCATCAAGCTCGTGAGCCAGTGATCCACTCTGCTCTTCCAGCTCATCCTACTTCAATTCTCTAAGGTGATCTAAATTTAGCATCATCATTTTGGCGCCGTCTGTGGGAAGGCAGACATAATCACGTAGCGCGCACGATGGCCTTGAGACATTTGCCGAGGGGGAGTGTGACACTGCTAACAACCTTCCACCTCGTGGAGGCTCTGGCTTGCCACTTCCTCCTCCTCGTGCTTGGGATCCACCACGAGACCTTTCTCGGATGTCCCACTAGATCCTCAATAGGATTCACTTCTTCCCGCCCCTCGATCGGTTCAGACAACCGAGGAGGCCCTTCAACACTAGAAAGGATTATCGACTCCCTGGGGGTTTACTATTCCCCCAAAACATTTCGTTTGCCAAGGGTTATCAACTCCCTGACGGCTTAATTACCCCTGCCCCCAAAATATTTCGTTCGCCAAGGGTTATCGACTCCCTAGGGGCTTACCTTTGCCCCCAAAATATTTCGTTCGCCAAGAGTTATCGACACCCTGAGGGTTTACAGTGCCCCCAAAACATTTCATTGGCCAAAGGTTATCGACTGGTACCCCTAAAATATTTCGTTCGCCAAGGATTATCGACCCCCTGGTGGGTTATAGTGCCCCCAAAATATTTCGTTCGCCAAGGGTTATCGACTCCTTGAGGGTTTATAGTGCCCCCAAAACAAAACACACAAAAAAAAAAACAGAGAGAGAAACGCGCGTGCACATCACGCGCGCGTGGCGTACACGCGCCAGACATCCGGGCGCTTCAGCAGGAAAAAAAAATAGCCAATGGGCCTACAAATTATTTACCTACTGGGCCACGAGCCCAATATCGAAGACCACTATCTCCGAGGCCCAATCACCTTCAAGTAAGGTTTGGGCCCGACAATCTCAACTAAGCTATAAATAAAGGTTTGAACTCATTCCTTAAGGTACGTCCAATTAACTGAGCAATACTACAATATGTATTCTCTGGACTATTTCTATGATCAGCACGTCTGACTTGAGCCTCAGAGGGGTTTCCGCCGGATCAACTCCCGGCCTAGTTTACGTGTTCCGTGATCGCAGGTATCTCAAGGTCATCAAGCTCGTGAGTCAATGATCCACTCTGCTCTTCCAGCTCATCCTACTTCAACTCTCTAAGGTGATCAAAATTTAGCATCATCACTTGCGGTTCGATTCCCGATTAGAACCGGTAGAACCGTCCGGTTCTTAATAATATTTTTTTTATTTTTATTAGATATATATATATATATATATATATATATATATATATATATATATATATAGAGAGAGAGAGAGAGAGAGAGAGAGAGAGAGAGAGAGAGAGAGAGAGAGAGAGAGAGAGAGAGAGAGAGAGAGAGAGAGAGAGAGAGAGAGAGAGAGAGAGCTAGGAAATTAATATTTCTTTCTTTTTTTTTAAAGAAAAACCGGTTCAAATGGTTAGAACTGCGGTTCTAACCGTCGGTTTCCGGTTCCATAAAAGAGGAACCGGAAGCGAACCGGTTTTTTCGGTTCCGATTCCGGTTCGGTTCTAAAACTACTGATCCCGGTTCGGTTCTGGTTCCGGTTCTAACCGAACCGGTGGTCAGGTCTACTTGGATCTTTCAATCTAAGTTGTAAAAATGAGAGATTCGGACTTAGGCCGGAGTTAGTACTCCGACGGCCTAATCAGTAAAACCTGCATATTCACCCCTTCTTTTTAGAGGTTACTCGCAAATATCAAGTGCATATTAATCAATTTCTTTCTAACTCCATCAAATTCATGTCCGCCTTTTTCATTATCTGCACCGAGACCTCCATTCCGTCGACCGACGAGCTGTTTTATGCCGCATTTAAAGTGAATCATTCGCCCTCAGAGTTTTTTCATCTGACCGCTTGTCCTAAGGTTGATTTATTTAGCGGTTTGACCAACGAAGTACATATTTGGCAAAAGCATTTTTTGTTTGTTCACTCTCATGCCCCATGTGGTTTTGACACTACTTATATCGGGGAAAGTCCTACCACGGTCGAAGCGTCTCCCGATAGTAAGGCCCTCCTTCCTCGTTTATCTGCTCGCGCTCTTCCCCAATTATGAAACGTCGAAAAGATAATTTATACCCCCTCCATTTTCGCTCGTTTTGGTCTATGGGATATATCTTCACCCGACCAACGCCCACTTGGTACCGAAATTCCAGTTATTCGGCACTTTACTTAATTTATCTCTTATATTGTCCTAACTCTTTTATTTTCTGTTTTTTTAAGACGAGGTGATGCGAGATGCGATGAAAGTTGCTCTCGCAGAGCCGAAGTACCAATCTTCTTCTCCCGTGGTATCCGAATCGACCAGCCATGTCCCTGACTCAACTCACCCCCTCTTCTCCTAGCAAAGTGGCGACTTGTGTTGCTCCCGACTTAGCCACTCGCGTGGACGCTACTCGATCGCGAAGAAACTTCCTAGCAGCCTCCTCTCTCGATTGTGTGGCAACCCGTGATTGACTTAGGCAGAGAAAATGCCGATAATCATGAACCCACGACTCTTTGGAGCGGACTCGTTCTGATGGGAGTCGACCTAAACGACCTGTATACGTAACTGAGGGTTACGAGGGCAGCTCTCTTATGTCCAAGCGAACTCCTATAAAGAACAAAGGCTTCTTTTCTTCCATCCTTCCTGACCGCGATCTCGCTGACCTTTCTCGCCACTTTGAGCAGAACAAACTTATTGAGGATGCTGAAGCTCACGAGCAGCAACACGCTCTCCTGCTCTTTATTATTATTTAATTATTTATTTATTTTTTCGCTTCTTGCCTTATTTTCATTTTCTTTCCGTAATTCGCATAATTCTTTTTATGAGCTCTAAAGATCAACGGCGCATGGATTCGGAGCTGAGGATCCTATATTCCTATTGGCAAAGTGAGGAACTTGGCCGTGTAAAGCGGATTGCTAGCGAGAAGGCCAATGAGGTTCAAAATATCGTACGTGGACTGGCTCAAGAAAGAAAAATCTTCCGCCCTGAGGGACATGCTTGTCTCACGATCGAAAAGTATAACCCTGTGTATCGCACGAGTAAAGTACTAGTTATAAACTATTGACTAACTTTTTAATATTTATTTATAAATATAAATGAGGATGCAAGCCAAACAAACGTCAATTATCATGCAATTGGATCCCCATTTTTCCATATTATTATAATATTAGAGCAATTGCGCCGCCCGTCGTTGTTTTCTAGATGGAGTGGTTTTCCCCATTGTTCTGCTTCGCTCTCTTAGCCCTTCTCTCGCCGCCCCATCACGGCGCACGTGCTCTGGAATTCGATTCCGCCCTTGCTCGGGAGCTTCTGGAATCGGCGTCGGATTCCGAATTTTCGGGGTGGTTGAGAAGTGTTCGGAGGAGAATCCACGAGTACCCGGAATTATCATTTGAAGAGCGGCGAACGAGTCAACTCATTCGAAGCGAGCTCGACTCACTCGGGATTGAGTATGTGTGGCCCGTCGCTGAAACAGGTGTGGTGGCCACTGTTGGCTCCGGTGCTCAGCCGTGGTTCGCTCTTCGAGCCGACATGGATGCTCTCCCTATGCAGGTTCATCTTAATTTTCCCATGCTTCATAAATTGAAATTAATTAGGGTTTTTGTTTTTTTTTTTTCTTCTATTTAATCGACTTTAATTTTTGAATTCAGTTCTTAGTTGCTTTCCTGATTTACTCTGTGGCTTCAATTTTTAATTTTAGGAGATTTAATCGACTAATTTTTTGTTTTGTTTGTTTTTTGCACATGAATTTCTTAATGACGATATATTTAATTAATTAGCAGTAATGATTAGATTATCCCAAAGACTAGCAAAAAGAACCAGTGTATGATTTCATTACTCTAATTTCAATTTGCAGGAACTAGTGGAATGGGAGCACAAGAGCAAAATCGACGGCAAGATGCATTCCTGCGGTCACGATGCTCACGTCACGATGTTGCTCGGAGCAGCTAAATTACTACAAAAAAACCGCGACAAATTGAAGGTAGTTAAACAATTCCGCCATTATTATATAAATCAAGTATAAAAAAAATGTGTAATATTTTTTCTGTTCTTACATGTTAAGGGCACTGTGAAACTCATCTTCCAACCTGGAGAAGAAGGCCACGCGGGTGCCTATTACATGATAAAAGAAGGAGCCCTAGATGGAGTTCAAGCCATTTTTGGCTTGCATGTGGACCCGATGATTCCGACAGGAACTGTCAGTTCTCGGGTGGGCCCCTTGCTTGCTGGAGCGGGCCGGTTTACGGTGGTCATTCAAGGTAAAGGTGGACATGCAGCAAGCCCGCATAAAACTCGAGATCCTATACCTGTTCTTTCTATGGCGATTCTTGCTCTACAGCATATTGTTTCGCGAGAAACCGACCCGCTTGAGCCCAGGGTATATATGCTTTTCTTTGTTTTTTTTTTTTTTTTTTGTTGTTCTAGTATATAGTAAAGTTATATGAACAAATTTTTATTTTTATTTTTTCGTTCGTGTTCGCTAATGCTAGGTAATCTCGATTGGATTCGTTCAAGGTGGTGAAGCATTAAATGTTATCCCCGAGACTGTCACATTTGGTGGTACTTTCCGGTTTGTAAGCGCTGAAAGTTATGCCTACCTTAAGCAGAGGATTAAAGAGGTAATTGTCGACCATTTAACATTTTATTAATTCCTTTTCCATGTTGTTATAGAGATAGTATTATTGAATCAGTCCACTCTCTTATATAGAGGCAGAAAAGAAATCCTAAAAGAATTGAGACAAATTCATTAACTAATATGAACTCCTACATATATTATAACTCGGGTGGATGGAAATTGAAATGAAATTTCCGAGTACCACTGATTCCAATTTGAATATTTCCAATTTTGGAGTAATGTTTTTCATTCCGATTCTGAAAGTTCCAATTTTCGATATTTTTGGGAGCATATTTGATTCTGTTCCTATCCGATTTTAGATTCCAAAAATTCCGATTTTTTCCCTGAAAAGTACACTTGTAATATCAAAATGTTATTATGTATTTTATATTTTAGGCGACTAAAAAAACTGAAATTTTGCATCCTGCCGGTTCTGATAAAAAAATTACTATTTTCGAACAATATTTTGATTCCAAATCCCGAAAGTCCCAATTTCCTATCCGATTTTAATCTCCGAAATATTTTCGAAAATTTTGAATTTTTTTCCTGAAAATTATACCTATAATTTCAATATGATTATGTATATTATAGGTCACTAAAGAAGTGGAAATTCCGAATCCCGCCGATTCGATCAAGAAAATCTCCGGTTTCGGATCATATTTTTTGTTTCCAGTCTCTGATTTTCCGAATTCTTTTGGAACGGAATCAAAGTGATAGTCATTTCAATTCAGAAAAAAAAAATGAATTGTTTTTTTTCCGAAAGTGCTAATTCAGATCCGAACCGTCCGATTTCCATCAATAATTCCAACAGTTAATTTAAAGTTCGACACAACGCCATCTATTTACAGGTAATTGAAACACAAGCAGCGGTGCACCACTGCACAGCCATGGTTGACTTCATGGAGGAATCACTAAGACCATATCCACCGACAATCAATCACCCCACAATGTACGACCACGCTAAAAGGGTCGGAGAAAACTTGCTCGGCAAGCAAGGTGTGAGAAACGACCCCATGATAATGGGAGCGGAAGATTTCAGCTTCTATGCAGAGAAGGTTCCAGCAGCTTTCTTTATGATAGGTGCAAAAAACGAGACGATGACATCAGCAAAAGGGCTGCACTCGCCCCACTTTGTGATCGATGAAGGAGTTCTTTCGGTGGGAGCTTCTCTGCATGCTGCAGTTGCCATGGCTTACTTGGAAGATCATGCCAAATGAATTCTTTAATTCGATTTCCGAGGTAAAAGATTCGAGTTAGAGAAATGCCAAAAAAGTGGGGAAAAAAAAAAAGAATATAACGGTTCGATTACGTAATGTTTTGTATTTGCATTTTCTGGAAGTTGACTTGAGTTTTTGTGTAAGCCCTTTCGATTTTTCTTGAATCGATTTCTCATGTAAGAACAGAGGATTTGAAGTGAAATTGTTGCAGGTAGTACTTCATGCAGGTAGTGAAATTACAATTAAGTATATTTTGCACCGAGTAAAATATATAAATATTATATGATAGGTGTATTTAAATAGGATCGCAAATTGTAAATTCGGGTTGAAAAAAGTTGTTCCAAAATCGAAACTTTGTTTGTAAATATTAAATTTTTTTCACTCCTATTGTCACACGTAGGCACACATGTTAAGAGAGCTAATTAATACACACATATCTTAGGGAGCAAGTATATATTAACATATTAAAATGCTCTTCCCATTTCATTATTTCTTTTTGCTGTAAAATAATATTTGAAATTTTTTATGAATAATTAGGTAAAAAAAAAAATTAAAAAACAATAAAATTAATAAATGCATTAGAAACGATAGATACATACAGTGAGTCATAACTCACAACTCATAACTAAAACCATAGCTCCCACGTCAGAGCAGCAAACCCTCACGCCATTGTTTACTCAAGACTTGCTGTTTTCATCGCGCCGCCGTGCACCGCCGTGCACTACCGCCTTTCATCCCACATCGGAGAATTCCTCGGAAGATTAATCAATTCTTACCATTTTCCTCCTCAATCATCGCTCTTTGATTTACTCTTACCTATTCATTTTTCCGCCTACCCCCCACTCAACAAAATTCAAACATAAATTGATTAATTAATTAATTAATTAATTAATGGGACTAAAAGCTTGAGCCCCACTTCGGTTTATCTATGTTCTTTTGACTAAAGCTCCGATTTTTCTTTGAAAGGTACGTTTAATTTAATTCTTTATTATATGAGTAATTATTTTTGGGTTTTTGCATGAACTTCTTCTCTGTATTCATTTTCAATTACTTGGTTTTTTATTTGCTGTGCCTTGGTTTTGATTATGTAATCTGTCTGAAATTTAGGTTCACTTCCGAAATTGAATTTTCGTAGATTTATCTTTATACTGTTGGGGGTTTATTTGCCAGAAATAATTTTTTTGGGGGTTTTAATGAATGACACTGAGAATTGTTGTGTGTTCATCACTGTTTTAATTCAGTTCAGCTGTTGCAAATATTCTCGAAACCGGAATTTGTGTACGCATTAGTACAATAGACGAGATTCGAGAACAAGTCGAATATATGAATGATATCACTAGTTAAATTCAAGGTGCACTCGTAATCCTGACCTCATTTTGTCGTGATCTTGGATTACAAATGCTGGTCCGTCTCAACATACTAATTACTAAACGAAACCCGTAGCCTCGTTTTTACAAATGTTGACTCGGGTTTCTTCCGGAAGCTTTCGTAATTAATTTCTTAAGTAAGGAGGTTATTAAATCCCTAAGACGTTAGTTGCTTAAGTTCTTCGTTGTTTGTTTTAATGACTTAACCATTTAGAAGTTATATTTGGAGTGGCCGCTGATTTGCTTCGTTTTATATTCGTCTATTGTAGGTGCTCGGTTAAATTGTTTTTCTTCTTTGTTCGTATTTCTCTGCCATCTTCAGATATGGTTTTTGGTTACACTAAATATCTCGCATCGAAAAACGAGGACCGATGCTGCCTTGTTTGAAACCAGCCCCGTCAGCAAACAATCACATTTCAATTTCGTCACCTACTTCTCAAGGTAAATAAATCCCTTCGAAAATTCTTTCATTTCTATTACTCAAAAAGATATTTCAGTATTTCGATTAACATGTACATACAAACACGATTCAGGATATTCAGCGGACAATACGCCAACATCGAGTGTTCAACTCTCTCCGACCGTCAACCTCAGTCGAGAATTCACCCTCGCAGTCAAAACAAATTCTTACAACGAAATCCGAAAAACATTCGACCAAATTGCAAACACAGAACAAGTCGAATTCCACGAGGAAACTCAACTCTTGGACAAGGTTCTTAAACCGGGCCCCGCGCGTATTCTAGAAGCCATATCGCTGACTAGGCGCACCTCTCTCACTCATCTCATCGCCACATACTTCGAACACACCGAGCAAACTTCCCGTTTATGCCTCCTCCTCTACAACAGTATCCACCTTGCCCGCCTCCTGTACACCCCTGTACACAACCTTCTAGAAGACCTCGAGGAATATTCCCTCTCCGATTCCCAATGCAAGATTGCCTATAACGTCTTTCTCCAATTCGACTCGCACCTCGAAAACCCCTTCATCTCACCCAACTCGCGCAGCTTCAACGACATCCGCCGGTGCTTCTTACAGCTCAGGGAAAAGCTCGACCGCCGTCTCAAGAAGTCGAAGTCCAAGTCAACGAGGCCCGTATTGTGTTTCGTTGCGGGCCCCACGTGGGCCAGGAGCAAGAGGGATAGGGCCCGCAAGGCGCAGCTGGAGGCGGCGGCAAAGGGCGTCTACGTCATCCGTAATGACGTGGACACGATCGATCGATTGGTGGCGCGTTTGCATGCGGGGGTTGAAAACGACAGGCTGCTGGTACGGATGGGGGTGGAGAGGGGGGTGGATAGATACCCCATTGAAGAGATACTGAAGCAGCTTCGAAGAAATCGAGCCGGTTTTCTGAAACAGCTCGTGGATCTTGAGGAGCATTTGTTCCTCTGTTTTGCTGCTGTTAATCGATCAAGATCAATTCTTCTCCAAGAGATCTCTGCATCACACTAAGTAATCCCGTCTTCGAGAAAAGAAAAAAAAAAGACTCTTTTAACCCTGTTTAATTTGCATGCATGCATGCATATGTCGTTTCGATTAGGGCTCGTTTGGTAGCGATGGTTATAGATTAGATAGGATATGGTTGTAGTATTATAGGTGATGTGTTAGAAGTTGTGGTTAATTTCTAATATTAATGTTTACAAAAGAGAGGGTTATATTTGTCATTTTCCTTGGGGCTCGGAGATGTATGAGAAATGGAAATGTAATTGGATGAGCTAAGTGAGAAGTATTCATTTGTTACATCTTTTTTTATAAAACCTCACAATTTGTACTATTTTTAGACTGATATTTTTTAGGGCAAATTATGAACACCCTCGTTAGAAAAGGTCAAATTACGAAAAAACCTTCATATTTGGATAATTATAATTACCCTTCAAATATAAATTTTCTAACATGTCCATTCTTATAGTGTCAAATTCAACATAATTTTCTAAATTCCGTGGAATGTTCTCTAGTTTGTACTCGTTTTGTGCAGAAATGCAGTTTCTGATGCACTACAATCTGATATTTACAAGCCAATCGACACATTTTATCATCATCTTATTTTAAAATGTGGAGCTCGAATGGATAAAATGTATACAAACTGGAGAATATTTCACATAATCCAGAAGAATTATACTAAATTTGACACCGTAAGTTTAGACTTTCGCGCAAGAAAATTCATAGTTTGAGTGATTGTACTTACCCAAACAAGAGTTTTTTTTTTTTAATTTGACATTACAATAATTTACCCTATTTTTAGTATGATTTTTTTTTTTCTGATATACCGACGACTTGACTATAAAAAGTAAAAAAAAAATATTTTATTTAGCAGACAGAGAAGATATGAACAAATCCAACAAAGTTAAATTACGAAAGTGACATTCTGGTACAGTTGTTTATTATTACCGACCACGTTCTTGCCTCGCATGCTCTTCTTCTTCATCATGCTTTATCTACATGTACCTCGCGCTTCATCCATAGTACCTTGAGTGTACAGTTAGAAGAAAATAAATAGAGCTTTGAATGAGAAGAATCAAAGTCAAGCTTTCAACATCTCTCTCTCCCTCTTATTTAATACATCATTTCAAAATCAAAAAAAAAATTGAAAATCCCATAATTCATTCTTCCTTTTCAACAAAATTTCTTCAACGAATTAATATTTCCATTTTTAAACCCCACTTTTTTAGCTGTAAAGATTCTCAGAAAAACACAAAAATAAAAAAAATTAATAATAAATAAATAAATAAAATAAAATAAATCCCACTTCCCTCCCACTGAAAAATATTTCGATACCATAATTAAAATCTATGTTTAATCTCTGTCCCACCTTCTAATATGCAGAATTAGAATCGCAAATTCGTAACGCCACTTGTGTATAAATCTGTGAGATCTTGAAACCCTAGTTCAAAATCTGTATATATTATAATAATAATGCTGAGGCAAGGGCACAGAGGAGTGATAATCGACGGCGTAATGGTGCCGACCAAGATCCGGAAAAGGGGGAGCTCGTCCACGTCATCTTCATCTTCCAGAGTCTACAACTACAGGCTGAACAAGCGGGCCATTCTGGTGGGCAAGAATCGGGCCGGGTTAGGGATCGGACCCGGAAGATCCAGATCCAGCACACCGGCCCCTGCGTGGCGAACCGCCGCCTTGAGGGGCGCTGTCGACTCGCCCAAGTATTCCCAGAGTGGGAAATCGACCCGACCCGTTTCGGCCCGGAAGCTCGCCGCCACTCTCTGGGAGATGAACGAGATGCCTTCGCCGGAAATGAGCGAGGTTGATTCGGAGGTGATGAATCGGCGGCGGCAGCAGCAGAAGAAGAATGGAGGTAAGATTTTCCCCAAGAGAGAGAAAATGCAACCCGTTTGGGGGTTGCATACGGGTTCGGGTTCGGGTTATTTGCCACCCCATTTATCTGATCCATCTCACAGCCCGACAATTTCAGAGGTGAGTGATTGCATACTTGCATAAGGTTCATACCATAGTTTAATTTGAATAAAAATCTCTCATTTATTAAATAGAATATAACTAAATACCCCTTTTTCGATTTTGTAGAAAATGGATCGATCCGGAACCGGTAGCCGCCACCGGAGAAGAACACCGTCGATTTCGCAGATGCTTATGTCCGCCGCCGATCGGAATATCGGAGTTCATGATTCTATAAGCAATGCTAGTTTTATGGAGGTAAAGATCAAATTTTTATTTATTAGTTTTTTTATTTTTTTGAATTTTCTGTATAATATTAAAAATGTATGTATATATACGTATATATAAATCCAAAATTGCAGGTGGAGACTCGTTCCCGCCCCCAAACGTCGAACTCGTCGGTTACGAACTCCAGAAACCGTCTCAAAGACATAAGCAACGCATTGACCACTTCGAAAGAGCTCCTGAAAATCATCACCCGCGTGTGGGCCCAAGCGGGCCCACCCTCGTCCAGCCTATCACTCGTCTCGGCCCTCCACGCTGAGCTGGAGCGGGCCCGCCTCCAGGTCAACAACCTAATCCAAGACCCTCGTTCTGCTGAAGAGAAAACCTTGTGGAAAATTAAAGAAAAACAAGCAGTCGAAGCTGCGGTGGGCCCCATCGTTGATGAGCTGGCGGCGGAGCGGAAGTCGAGGCGGAGAGTCGAGAGCTTGAACAAAAAACTCGGGATTGAGTTAGCGGAAACGAAATCTTCGTTTGTTGAGTTGGTGAAGGAATTGGAGAGAGAGAAACGGGCGAGGGAGATAACGGAACGGGTTTGCGATGAGCTGGCGAGGAATATGGACGAGGATAGGGCAGAAGTGGAGAAGGAGAGAGAAATGCTCCAATTGGCTGATAAGTTGAGAGAGGAGAGAGTCCAGATGAAGCTGTCCGAGGCTAGGCATCAATTCGAGGAGAAGAATTCCGCCGTTAGTAAGCTGCGGAAGCAGCTAGAAGTTTTCCTCGGTACGAAAAATAAGCACGAGCTTCTAGAAGAACAAGATGATGATGATGATGTGGCATTGGAAGAAGATTCTTCAGCAGAAAGTGAGCTTCATTCGATCGAACCGAACAAGAATAATAATAATAAAGGGTACAAATGGTCTTCTCAAAAAATGAGTTCTCTTCGGAGAAGTGTGTCCGATGGAGTTGAACGGGGTTTTCGAGGAGAAGATTGTCACGAGGTCGAGAAGGAAGCTTTTAGAAGTGGTTGTGTTGAGGAGGGTCAGGGGGTCAACAAATCGGTCAAAGGTATCAAGGATAGGATATTATCGAGTTCTAGGTTTGTGTCGTCACCGTCGTCCAATCAAAAGGAGCACTCGTGGCCGTCGAGAGATCCATGTGGCGGTACGCCCGAGGAGAGATCTAGTGTTGTCCAAACAACGAGTTCGAAGTCGAAAAGTACAGGGGTCGTCAGAAGATCGAAACGGTGAATGTTATTTTAGCGTTGCTTGTTTCGAGAAATGTCGAGTAAGTTAACATCTTGTTGATTTGTAAGTTAACTATCTGGAAAATTGTGAAATGTTTCCTTTTTTATTGTACAGAAGAAGCATGTAAGCCAAGTTAAACATTATATGAAGCTTCGAAACCATGCTTAAGCAGAATGCTGTGGTAATTACGATAACCCCGTCATTTTATGTCGTATGTTATTAGAGGTGGAAATTGGAACGGAAATTTCCGGATTATGCCGATTTCTATCGGAAAATTTCTGATTTTGGAGCTACATTTTTCATCCAATAAGGGGTAAAATTGGAAATATCCGAAGAACATTCTAAGGAATCTTAAAGATTCCGGTAGTTTTGACACCGTAGGTGTGTACACGGTTATATAGTTAGGGGTGGCTAAATGTAATTATGAATTTTTTTTAATTTTTTTTTTGTAATTTGACCTTAGCCGATGTAGTTTGTATTTGTTCGCGGATTTGGTGACATTAATTATTTAAGAAAAATCACAAGATTTCAACGTTGAATATAATCACTACCATATTAAGATTAGCAGAACCTTCTGCAAGACAATAACCTTAATTTTGATTTGATTAGTGCCCCACCACTTATTTAGATGCTTAAACACAATAAATAAATTGTCATGATATTTTTTTACAGAGTTAAGGGTTAGGGTCATGCCTAACCCCATTGAATATGTTTCTCACAAAAATAAAAATTAAAAAATTAAATAAATAAAAAGGTCTTCATTGAACTTTGGAATTAACAAACAAGAGAAATTTGGAATTGATTTGTTTGTTACACTGAATCCAAAGGACAAGTCACATGCACATTGAAACTTTCCCCAAACAATTTAGTTAGTTGAACAAGTTAATTTTAGCGGCAAATTACGGCCGTCCCTGAGATAAAATTAATTTATGAACAAACTCCTCATATTTGGGTAATTATCTATATACTAAAAGATGTTTTCTTTTATAAGAGAATACGTAATTGCAAGGTCGGTTATAATTACTCAAATTATTTTTTTTCGTAATTTGACATAACCTGACCCCACCTTTCAATTACTTTGTGTCTAGAGTCACTAATTTTTTTTTAGTATGATTGCAATTTTCACAAGTAATCTACATAATTGTTCTAATAAAGGCTCCATTTTCCAATTTGGCACCAGCTAAGCTAAGATGTTTCCCACTCTACCCCAAATTTATATTCCCATTTTCTCAACCTATACTATATATCACACTAACTCATAATCTCTCTCTCTCTCTCTCTCTCTCTCTCTCTCTCTCTCTCTCTCTCTCTCCTCTCTCTCTCACACACACACACACTAATGAGAGAGAAAATGGGAATGAATTGGGTAGTACTGTTATATTCATACGCAGTTTTAGCTCTGTTATTCACCAAAGCAGCAGAAGCAAAGATCATGACTACAACACCACATGGTTTCCCTTCTTCCATCATAATTCAGCCTGCAGCAGAACAACAACATGATCAACAGCTTTCTCTCTCCGACAAAGAATCAAATCAAATTTATTACAAAGAGAAGTTCTTCACACAGATTCTTGATCACTTCAACTACAACCCACAGAGCTACCACACATTCCAGCAAAGGTACTTAATCAACGACGAATACTGGGGTGGCCCCACCACTAATTCCCCCATCTTCGTCTACACCGGCAACGAAGGCCGCATCGACTGGTTCGCACAAAACACCGGTTTCATGTTCGAAACCGCTCCCCGTTTCAATGCCCTACTTGTTTTCATCGAGGTATGTATACATATATATTGTTATCAGTATATTTGCCTATGAAAATCTACTCGATCGTTGTTCTGTTGAGACAGATTAATTGTTAAGACATTTGTTGTTGCAACGTAATTCTTATGTGGATACAAAATTGAACTAGTGGAAACAGAATAAAAAAAACACAAGAATTTAATGTGGTTCGGATACAAATCATATATATATAGTTGAAAATTGAATTTTTGCAGCATAGGTATTACGGGAAGTCGGTGCCGTTTGGCGGGAATAAAGAGACGGCGTACGCGAATTCGTCGACGCTCGGTTATCTGAGCTCAGCGCAGGCGCTGGCGGACTACGCGGCGGTGATACTTGATCTGAAGAATAATTTGACGGCGGCCGATTCGCCGGTGGTGGTGTTCGGAGGCTCCTACGGTGGAAGTATGGCCGTATTAATTATATTCTTTACTTTCTATATATATGCATTCACAAAACAACGAAAAACATTGAGCTGGATTTCTTGAGATTGGGAATAATAATAATAAAATATATAATTAATTAATTAATCATATATAATTACGATAAATTATTAAAGCTCATGAAATTCCACTCAGTGTGTGTGTGTGTGTGTGTGTGCAGTGCTGGCAGCATGGTTGAGATTGAAGTACCCGCATGTGGCTATAGGAGCTTTGGCTTCTTCTGCACCAATTCTCAACTTTGACAATATAACTTCTTCATTTACTTTCAATAATATCATCACTCAAGATTTTAGGGTATGTATGTACACAACTTTTTTATTTACTTACTTTTTTTGTTATTTATTTTACAATTTCAATGACGAATTATTTACTATATTCCAATTTTGCCCTTACTATACGATCATCGATAATTTCAAAACGTTGGTTCTCGACTTCTCTATAGTTAGTCGGAATGGACATCTTAGTCATATTATATATATGTTTTTTTTTTAATATCCGTACATATTTATTATATTTTTTATATTTGTGTACAAAAAACGGCACTTAATTTGAAACTGAAAGTATTTCAGATCGAAATAAATAAATAAATCAATAAATAAAAACAATCATCATGCATACAGTAAGATTTAACATTTTGCATATAAATTAGATTTAACTTAGGATAAGGTTACTAGCTATTTTAGAATAGACTTCTCTAACAAGAAAACAAAAAATGGGGACCGGAAATGGGGAAGAATTAATTGCAATATTTGTGACATTTCGGGTAATTTAATTTAATTTGATTTTTGAATTTATTTTTTAATTTAATTGCAATATTTTTGAATTTATTTTTCGGGTGCCGAAAAAATAGAGTGAGAGTGAGAATTGTTACAAGGTGATCAAACGATCATGGCAAGAAATCGAAGAGACAGCAGCAAAACCTGGAGGATTAGAGATTCTCCGAAAATCATTCAAAATATGCAAGTAAGAAATTATTTTCGATAGCGAAATCATTTTTTCTCTATTTATTTAATTTTATATACATATATAATATTTTAAAAAAAAAAAAATATATATATATATATATATATATATATATATATATATATATATATATATATATATATATATATATATATATATAAATGGACAGGAATTATATGAGCACAGACTATCTTGAAGGTTGGCTTGGTACAGCCTATACTTACACTGCCATGACAGATTATCCAACTCCCACCAATTTCCTTAATCCCATGCCTGCTTATCCTGTTAAACAGGTACTAATTATATATGATTAATCCGGTTTATTAATTATTAATTATGATTAATAAAAAATTTCCAAGCTTTTATTTAACTTTTTTTTTTATAATAAAAATAGAAGTTTATATAATTTATTATTTTGTATAAAAATTAAGACTATGGAACCTCATATTTTGTAAAAAAAATTCAAGCTGTTTTCTTAATTAATTGTTTATTTATTAATTATTTTATATTTATAAAAAGAAATGATTTTTTTAATTAAATCTTAAAAGAAATATTGAATGCAGATGTGCAAGGCAATCGATGATCCAAAGAGTGGGAATAACACCTTCGAGAAATTATACGCTGCGGCAAGCATTTACTACAACTACACTGGCAATGCCAAGTGTTTCAACCTCATTGATCGTTCCGATCCACATGGGATCCGACCCGGGTGGAATTGGCAGGTACCAAATTTTTAAATCCGACCCTGATTAATACTAGATATAATCCAACGAACCAAACTTCTTACTAAGTGTGTATGTTTGTGTGTGATTATTTCAGGCATGTACGGAGATGATTTTGCTTACAGACGGCAACACAGAGGACAGTATATTCCCAGCATCTAACTATAGTTACAATGACCGATTACAGTATTGCAAGTCTAATTACGACATTGACCCTAGGCCCACCTGGATCCCCACCGAATTCGGAGCCCGTGTGAGTATCCATCTTGGGCCCGGCCCAATTTAAAGTCGTGTTTTATTTGCGAAAAAATGAATATCTTTCTTTTGCAGCATATTCACCGAGTTCTCAAGCGCTTTGGAAGCAATATCATCTTCTTTAATGGTCTAAGGGATCCATGGAGCGGTGGCGGGTTCGTTGTTTCGCCTTTTTCTCTCTCACACACTAACACACACACACACACATATGTATATATAAATAACGTCGTGCTTTCAATCATTATCGATGCAGGGTGCTCAAAGATATATCCAAAAGTGTAGTTGCAATTGTTGCAAAAGAAGGTAATTTAGGAAAAAAATCAAAAAAATATATTTCGTATTATTTTTCATGCAAGATATCTCTTTATAAATAAATGAAATTAATTTGACGAATAGGTGCACACCACGTGGACCTAAGATTCTCAACAAGGGAAGATCCAGAGTGGCTTAGAGAGGTGAGGAAAAGAGAAGTACATATCATCTCAAATTGGCTCTCTCAATACTATCACACTTTGGCTGATTTCTCATAAATCATAATTAATTAATTATTAGTTATATTAATCTTTTATACATACACATGACATCAAGTTATATAATGCCATTCCATCTCAAACTTCTTATTGATTTGGCCTCATAATTATCAAATGTAATAATTAAGGATGTTTCAATTCGTACACTCCTCTTGCAATAAAAGAATGTGCTAATTAAATGTCTGTTCAATTTTGCTCAACGTAAATATTTTTCAAAATAAAAGTAAGAGAGAAGTACATGGAAATATCTCCTAGATTTGCATTTTGATGGGGTCAATTAGGAGAAATTGTATTATTGGGCCTTATTCATATTTATTTGGGCCGAATATGCTAAAATGATCCATCGACAATAGGTCGGGCTTGTGGTCTAGAAAAAGAGGTCGGTTCGGAAATGTGTATGTAGAGGAGCTCGGTATTCGGAGGAAGAAGAACAAACGAGTTCAGTTACATCATGAGCGTTCGTTCGGTTATGTCTTTGGCAAGACTGTCGTTCACATATTGTTTAGGTCTTTTGCATCGAAGATATGAAATCTAGGGTAAATCGAGGAATCTGATTTATCAAGGATTGTAAATTAAGTTTAAATCAATTACCAATTTTTGTGAATTAAACTGACACGTTTTATGATCTCAATTTAATAAAACAGTAAAACGAAGATGAAGAACACTCGAGATTACACACTTAAGGGAACGTTTGTATATTATGCTAGAGCCCCAACCACTATATTTTATTACAATAGGGCCCTCAAATATAAATATTAAAAAAAATGCAAATGGAGCTCAACTTTTATACAAAAAATAATATAATATAATATTCACACTTGTACTATTAATACACAAAATAAAAAAATATTACCAATTTTTTTTTTTAATTTTATTTAAAAATTTATAATAAAGACCCGAAATTTATTTTTTTACCTAAAGCCCCATGTATGTTTGAGCGGGCCATGCCCATGTATATATATACATAATTTAAAAACGTGGTGATATGTTAGAAACATTTTCTTCCCACTGTTGTAATTAAAGTTAGCCCAAGAATATGACAGCTAGACAATTTATTCAATTCACAGAGGAAACATGAACCGGGTTTATGCGTCTCCAATCATATTGTGGCCGGGTCAAGTAATTCAAAAGTTAATTATACGTTACTCCCTCTGTTTTGAATTAATAATAGTTTTTGGAGAATTTTCTTTTTTTATTAATATTTGTCACGAACCCTTAAATTTCAATTATTTGAAACGGGCTGTGCAATATATGCTAGGCTTAGTTTAATTTCGTTACGATTTTTCAATCAGAAATATTAAATGGCGTTTCAAATCTACTAATATCGTTTTGACATGGAACGATATTTTGACCATATAATAGTCTGATTTTGGTAGAATTCACAGCATGAAAGTTATAGTCAATTTGAATTAGCTTTCTAATTCAACTCGAGTCGCCTAAATTGGATGCAGCGTGAAAAAGTTGTGCGTGAATTAGTGAGATTTTGAAATTTACATATCTCATAACATCAAAGTTGTAGGAGGTATTGTTTATCGATTCATTCATATATTTCCTATCCGACATGCAATCATGATGATTCAATTTGAATTAGAATGCTAATTTAAAGAACTACAAATTCTGTGTTCAGTGATTTGCGAAATTCGGACTAACCAATGACCAAAAATAATGTTGAAGTCGAAACAGTATTACTAAAACATAAACCATAATTTTTCAAATCCCGTTTTGAAATTATGACAGCGTGACTCCATATTGTTGTATGCAATGTAATAACTAAAAAAAAAAAGAAGTGGGCCTAAAAATTACAGTGTGCAGGAATTTGGGTATGGATCTAGTGGACCCGGTTTTCAGAAAAGTCCACTACCCGCTTCTGATCCACTAGTGGGTCGGATTCCATTTTTTAAGGACCACTTCCATTCTTATTAATTAATTTAAAAAAAAAAAAAACTTGTTGACGTGGCTACTTTCGCATCGATTTATATATATTAATTAACTAGTATTTATAATCGTGCGATTCTGGGGATAACATTTAAAAAATGAAAAAAAAATTAAAAAAAATTTAATACGTAACAATAACAGTTTTAATAAAAAATATATAACACTAGTATAATATAAATTTTATTAGTGATATTTTTAAATAGCGTTTACTTTGATTTTAGTTGCGAATTTAAAAAAAAATGTGAATCATGCAAATCGAATGTGCTACTAGCCCCACTATTAAGTAAGTAAAACTTTATAGCGGTAACCAAACGAGTTCTGAAAAAATAGAAAATTATGCCGCCATATATACAGTAAGTATATGTGTACTTCTATTCATATTTAATGTTTGACTTATAATCTAGAAGGAAAATATATTTAAGTTTTAACTTTTTACAACTTTTTTTGTGCGTATAGTTTTCTTACACTTTTCAATAATATATTTGGCGGAAAGTGATGTATGATGCATTTTGGAACGAGACATATAATTTGAAGCTCGTACCATATTTAATTATGCACATGCGATTGCGCAAATTAGTGGATGTAAATGAACTGAGCCGAGGCGATTGTATGAATATTCATTTTTTTTTTGTTTATCGAGCTTTAAAATTTGTGATCTGATAAACAATCAGGTCGAGAACTCAAACTAACTTCAATCAAATCGATCACAATTCAGGATCGAGTAGCAAAAATTGTTTAGGCATATTTTATATAAAAAAGAAATTCTAATTGAGATCTATTGAGTCAATCTTTATAATTTATGGAACAAATTAAACCGAGTTTGAACGAACTTTAACTATCGATCGCGGATCGAATATTTATTTTTAATGGCCCTTACCTGATCTTTGAAGTCTTTTTATATGGTAGTTAATGACATCACATTACATAATCCATACTAACCTAAAATAAATTCATTATCAATTTTGAAAATAAAATAAAGTACAATTAATTAAATTATGCCACATGGGGAGTGATTTATTGATTAATGTCATTATGTTGACCATAACACCTTTTTGACACTTCTCAAAATTAAAATAATATTATTGTGTGGTGATGCATTAGCATTTAAAATTTCACATTATATTAATAACACCAATCTCAATATTATTCTTTTCAAAAATAAGAAAATTAATTAGCTAGCATACGATATCTAATGTTTGAAATTGTATAATACTTGTCGACGAATATTATTATCTTGGACACAAAATAAGGTTTAAAAAATAATTGAATCTTTAGTACAATAAATCAAGATCCTATAATTCCGACATGCCTTGTACTTAAATATGCAATTATATATAATTTGTGTGACACAAATGCAGATGCGTATCAAACTTAGGATTATGATACATTATAAGTTTTGGTAAGTATTTTTTACATTGAACTGCTACAATCTGAATAACCAATGCCCCAATGATAACTTATTTATTATTTAAAATACTATATAATTGCAACCAAATGCTTCGTCTTTAGTGGTTTCACGTGTATAATCTCTTAAATTATATCAATTATAGATGAAATTAAATAACTTTTCATTAAACACACATACACATAGGTGTGTGTTGGTGTGTTTATTATGAGCAAATTTAAGATTAATAATTATCTAATATAAATATTCAGTTGTAGCATCTATATTTTTCAAAATCTACATGATCGAAGATGAAAGAATTAGATATACATATAGACATATATACATATACTGCTAAACCCAGACTAACAAAGTGTGACAAATTCAATCTACAAAATATTAAGAAATTTGAACTAGAGTCATTGATTTTACACTATTTTTACTCCACCACCACCGTAATTAGACCCCCCTTAATTAAAAACAGAGGAATATCTTAGTGTAGAAGTCATTACATATAGATTTATTTAAATATAAATATATATATATATATACAAAAAAAAAAAGAGTGGTTGTTGTTACTAACATGGAGCTTAATTATAAAGTCCGTATAGATACATATATATACATATAATTTGTCGGATATCTGCTCGTAATTTGGACCCTCAGTGACTAAGCATGTTTTCTGACTTTTTAGCAAAATTAAACGTAACCACCGATCATTTCTTTCATCAATTAATATCATGCTGCATGTGATCACTGTTACATTACACACACTCTTACGTGTACGTACCTCTCTCTTTATATTTTGTGTGTGTGAGAGAGAGAAAATAAATTATCAAATAAATAAAATATTTATATATATAAAACACACACACACACACACATTAGAATCCATCCCCACACCCCAACAACCTCTATAATATTATTACTACGTTTGTTTGCTTTCGTTTCTGTCGATACATTTGACAAGCTAACCCCCCCTTTCTCTCTCTACACACACATGTGTGTTTAGAGAGAGAGAGAATACACCTGGAATTTGAGGTGAGCTTTTGTCTGAGTCTGCTAACAAACACAGATATACATACATATACATATACATATATATATAAATATATAAATGAAATGAGATGGGACCCACGGAAATGATAAGATCATAAAATAAATAATAAATTGGGAAAGGGATAGGGACAGAAGTGAGAGGTGCCCGTAATTAATGTGACAGCAAATATGGGACTCAACTAATTAATTATTTTTTAAATGAATAAAATAAATCCCAATTTGAGGTTATAATTGGAACACGAACAAACTATCTAAAGGCGGTCCTATTATTAATTTATTTATGTATATATATATATATATTGGATCCTAAGCTTATCTCAACTCATCTAAAAATTTATTTTTATTTATTTTATTTATTATTATATATTGGAAATGCCAATATGGATTCCATGCATTATTTGTTTATTTATTGTTATTTTTACTGTCATTTCTCGTTTTAAATTAGGAAAGGTGATTGAGTTTCTATTATTTATGTTGTATTGTCATGCGTGACATATTATTTTTTTTGTTTTGAGTACGTTGGTAATTAATACATATTCATGCGACACCAGATTGAATTATTTATTTATTTTATTTCTTGCTAACTTTGATGTTCATTCATTTTATTTTTCGTCTCGTTAGGCAAAAAATGATTTGAATTTCCAATATATATATATATATATATATATATATATATATATATATATATATATATATATATATATATATATATATATATATATATATATATGTAAATTACAAACACCCCCTAAGGTATGGTCAAATTACAAAAACACCCCTCTTGTTTGGATAATTACAACCACCCCTCAACTCC